CTTTCTCTTTGTAGTTCTCTGATTACTAATAAAAATGGGCACTCTTTCATGTGATCATTATGCTATGTTTTCTGAGAACTGCCTATTCATATTTTTTGCCAAGTTTTTTCCTATTAGGTCGTACTTTTTTGGTTTAGAATATCTTTATATTTTTTCAAACAAATTTTCTTAACAGATCTCCTCTGTAGGTTTAAAGCTTATATTTTCTTTGTGTTATTTTTTGATGAACAGAAGTTGTTTTTTTTTTTTGGTACTGGGGATTGAACTTAGGGGCACTCAACCATTGAGCTGCATCCCAGTCCTACTTTTATATTTTATTTAGATACAGGGTCTCAGAATTGCTTAGCACTTCGCTTTTGCTGAGGCTGGCTTTGAACTCATGATCTTCCTGCTTCAGCCTCCTGAGCCATTGGGATTACAGGTGTTTACCACTGCACCTGGCAGAAGTTATTCATTTTAATGAAATCATACACATTAATCTGAATCTTTGTGTGTGTGTTGTCCTGTTTAGAAAATTCTTCCCTATCCTGAGTCTATGAGATTATACAGTTTTATCTACAAGTTTTAAAATTTCATCTTTCACATTTTTTAATCTAACTGTAATGAATTTTTTTGTATGGTAACAAGGAAGAAATCTAATATTGTTTTCACATATTAGTTAGATTGCCTAGTACCATTTGTTGAAGAGTCTCAATGATCTGCTCCATTGATCACCAGTGTTTCATATATTCACAGATCTGTTTGGGGAGCTCTCTATTCTGCTTCACTGGTTTATATTAATGTCAATATCACATAATTTTAATTACCACAGCTTTCAATAGGACTTCGTATCTCCTTGCCTTATTCTAGAATACTTTGGCTATAAATTTTAGAATCAACTTGTCAAGTTCTTTAAGCAACCTGCATGGAATTTCATTGGAAATGCAAACTCTAATGGATCAAGCTGAGGAAAATAGTCATTTTTATAATACTGAGTTTCTATATATATGGATGTAGTATATATTCCATTTATTTAGATTTTCCTTAATATCTTTCAAAAATGTTTTATAATATTTTCTATAAAGGTCCTAAATATCTTGCTAGATTTATTATCAAGTAACATGAATTGCTCATCACATAAATGATTCCTTCTTAAATAATATTTGTAAACATTTTATTTGCTGGTGCAAAGAAATATAACTGACTTTTAAAAACTAATATTGTAGCTAAAAAAACCTTTATAAATTCATTACTTCTAATAATTTTTAAGTAGATCCATTTGGATTTCTCTTGGTAAACAACTGTATAGCAACAGGAATAGTGTTAATTCAATCCTTGTAATTTTTGTTTCTTTCTCCAATTTTACTAAATTAGCAAGGAGTTATAATATAATGTTGAAGTGAACTGGTTCTTTTTCAATATTTCAAATAGTATTTTATTTTCTTAGATATTTTAGGCAAGATGAATATATCTTTGCTAATAACAATTTTATATTTTCCATTCCAGTTTTAATTTTTTTAGTCTTCTGATCTTTAATGATTTTTAAATTAAACATATATTTTTTTTAGTTGTAGGTGAACACAATACCTTTATTTTAGTTTTATGTGGTGCTAAGGATTGACCCTAGTGCCTCACATGTGCTAGGTGAGAGTTCTACCACTGAGCCACAACCCCAGCCCTCTTTAATGATTTAAGTTATGAGATATATTTCCTTCCCTTTATCCCTTAGATAACTTGAAGACTTTACAAAACTCAATTCTGTTGCTAATTGTTTCTGCTGACTTTCACTTGTGAAAGACAGTATAGTATTTCTAAAACCTTAAACTCAAGCCTGGATTCCTGATTGAAATCATACTTTGCCACCACTTACTAAGCAGTGTAACTTTTGGCAAATCATTAACCGCTCTAAACCTCAGTTTCCTCAGCTCAAAATTTTAGAAATAAATTTTCACCTAAAAAAACTTTTGTACAAATTACATAAGGACTTGGCACATATCAAGGCTGCCTGATTCTATGGGTCTTCTGTGATTTTTAATCTTGTATTTGTTAGAACTTGATATATGGGAATTCACTTCTAAAGCCTGTATAAAGTGCTTTCCTCCAGGGGATTTGAGGGTACTGTGATTTAGACCAATTTTAATTATATTTCTCAGTTTATGGCATAGTGAATAATCTCTGATCTAGTTCCCTAGTCTACACAGGTCCAAGACACTGTCCCTAGTCTTCTTTGCACACCAAAGCTATATTGATCAAGGAGATTTGAATGCATGTCTAAGACAGATGGGGCTGCCTCAATTTGGTTTTATGCTTTTTGCTCAATTCCTAACCTTAACAGATATCTCTTACTTTCCTGTAGGCTTATCCAATATCTTCAAAAGGTGGTTTTTATATTTGCCCATTCTTTAAAAAATATCATATAGCCTACCTGAGCCTGGTGCCACATTCCTGTAATCCCAGTGACTTGGGAAGCTGGGGCAGAAGGATCACAAGTTTGAAGCTAGCCTTAGCAACCTAGCTAACCTTGTCTCAAAATAAGAAGGGTAGGGGATGTATCATAGTGATAGGATGCCTCTGGGTTCATTTCCTAGTACCCAAATAGAAAAAAATGTAGCCAAGGTCATATTATGAGAAAGAAAAGTCTCATTCTAGTAATTTTTAACAAGTTTATTGGGTTATCTAAGTATACGAAGAAATGCAATTCTCTTTTAATATTTAAATGATTAGTTCCTTTTCTTATACTGCTACATTTGCTGGTTCCTACCTTGTTACCAAGTTCATCTGCAGTGAATCTTGCTGTCAGTTTTTGGTTAAAGAAATATTTTATTTTTCAACAATTAAGTGCATCTATTATAAAGTTTTGTGGTGATCTTTATTGCTTTAAAAATACGAATCTTGGGCTGGGGTTGTAGCTCAGTGGTGGAGCATTTGCCTAGCACATGTGAGGCCCCGGGTTCAATCCTTGGCACCACATAAAAATAAATAAATAAAATAAAGATATTGTGTCCAACTACAACAACAACAACAAAAAAATTTTTAAAAATATGAATCTTTTGTTCTATTTTTCTTATTTATGTGGAACTGAAAACAGAAGCACACAGTAATTTTTAAAATCTATTCTAGCCAGGCACAGTGGCACACGCCTGTAATCCCAGGGGGTTTGGAGGCTGAGACAGGAGAATTGCAAGTTCAAAGCCAACCTCAGTAAAAGTGAAGTGCTAAACAACTCGGTGAGACCCTATCTCTAAATAAAATATAAAATAGGACTGGGGAATGGCTCAGTGATTGAGTACTCCTGATCTATTCTATATGTGACTATTTACCTTTTTTATTTCTAATACAATTTATTAGTACCTTTTTTCCCGTCTTGAACACAGTATAAAATGTTACCCATTATATGCATTTTCTCAAGCAGCAGTTACTCATATTTGATTTAAAGTTATGAGATATATTTCCTTCCCTTTATTCCTTAGTAATCTTTTTTTTTTTTTAAAGAGAGAGTGAGAGAGAAGAGAGAGAGAGAGAGAATTTTTTTAATATTTATTTTTTAGTTCTTGGCGGATACAACATCTTTGTTGGTATGTGGTGCTGAGGATCGAACCCGGGCCGCACGCATGCCAGGCGAGCGCGCTACCGCTTGAGCCACATCCCCAGCCCCATTCCTTAGTAATCTTTAAAATATATTGTGTATAGTAATGTTTAAAATAATTTAAGATGAAAGTAAATGTCTCTGGGAGTTAAATCACTCTGCTGTATTTTTATGAGCAAACTTTCCTGCTATATTTTATGTCTGACTATGTATTATGTAGAATACCAATAACTCTCTCTTCTTTTGTTCTTGTCAATAGAAAGCAACAAATTATAGGATACTTTTTTTTTTTTTTAATTTGGGACAGGGTCTCACTAAGTTGCTGAGGCCAAATTCAAATTTGTAATAAATCCTCCTGCCTCAGCCTCCTGAGAATCTTGGGATTATAGGGATGCACCTCTATTTTTTGCACACAGCTCTATTTTTTGTTTTATCACATTGTGCTTTACAAGTAATGTGTTGAGCCCACTTTATGATTCTATGTCACATTTTGGTAATTCTTACAATATTTCATACTTTTTCATTATTATTATTTTATCTGTTAGGGCAATCTTTGCTGTTACAAATATGTTTTGGGGTATCATGAACAGTGCCCACATAAGGCAGCAAATTTATTTGATAAATATGTTCCCCCATCTCTTTCCCTCTCATTGGATTTTCCTATTCCCTGAGACATAATATTGAAATTAAGCCAATTTATAACCCTACAATGAAGGAAGAAAAAAATTGCACATCTTTCATTTTAAATCAAAAGCTAGAAATGATTAAGCTTAGGGAGGAAGGCCTATTGAAAGATGATAGGCCAAATGTTTCTTGGCCAAACAGGTAAACAAGCTGTGAATGCAAAGGAAAAGTTCTTAAAGAAAATGAGAAGTTCTATTCCAGTGAACACGTTGGAAAGTGAATCAGCCTTGATATGTAGGAAGTTTTAGTGGTCTGGGTAGATCAAACCAGGGACAATATTCCCTTATGCCAAAGCCAAATATTTGAAAAGTTTTGCCCAACAGTGCTATTTTCAAAGGTCACAATAAAACTGGAAGAATTCTAGGTCATATGCCATATTGAATAAAGAGACTAATCAGTGGGATTCACTGATCCATTGGGAATAAATTAGACATAATAGTGAAATAAAATTGATATAAACCCCCTTTTTATTTCTAATTATACAATTTCAACTAGCATCTGGTTATGTTTTGAGATTTACAAAGCCTTACATATTTTTTTAATATTTATTTTTTAGTTGTACAAGACCTTTCGTTTATTGATTTTTTAAGTGGTGCTGAGGATCGAACCCAGGGTTTCGCATGTGCTAGGTGAGTGCTCTACCGCTGAGCCACAACCCCAGCCCAACCTTACATATTATGATTGTATAACTTTATCACCTACCTGTTTTTCATCAACCTTATTTCTCTTTTTAATTGGGGGTCATCTGTCTTAGCTGTCTGAGATGTTAGAGTCACAGGGGATGTCATCACCACAGTCTGTGGCAGTGAAGTAGCCGAAGGTGTGGTGCGGATCTGATATGTCTGCATATCTCCTGATGCAGCTGTATAGTCAAAAAAGTAAGTTAATTGATACGTGTATTTGAAAGTACTTTGGGACACTTTCTATAGATAGTTAAATATACTTACTTTGTACAACCACCTGGTTGCTGGGCACAAGTATTTGTTGTCCATCAGAGGTCTGTGCATACTGTAGGATTGTGCCTTGCTGAGTACTGCCTGAATTTGTCATGGTTAATGTCTGAAGTCCCTGTACTCCATCGGTGCCTGGACTGGCCAACTGTAAGGCTCCATTTGGGGCAATGGCAACTTCAATCAAAGAGAAAAAATACTATTATAAGGCTGTATGCACTAATTCAAAGCAGTAACAAATATTTATAATTACACCTATTTTAATTCCTTATTAAAACATATTTAAATGCAGTTCTACTTGAATTGTCAACCACTCTTGAGCTGAAAGAAAGATATGGGTGCACTAAAATAGATAAAACGACTGTGTGCAGTACAGTGGCACACACCTGTAATCCCTGCTACACAGGAAGAGTACAAGTTTGAGACCAGCTTCAGCAACTTGGCAAGACCCCATCTCAAATTTTTAAAATATAAGGACAAGGATGTAATTCAATGGTAAAGCATCCCAGAGTTCTATCCCTATTACCACTAGGGATAAATAAATAGTGCATCTTTATAGTTCAGATGCACTATTTAAAATTCATCCTCAAGTTGTACAATACATAACTAATTGGGATAAATAACACATTCTGGAATCTGTGAGACACTTCATGCTAATTGCTAATGTTGTCACAAAAATTTGGCATTAAAAGAGGACACCAATGGATTTTTTTTTTTTTTAACAGTATTGGAGATTGAACCCAGGGCCTCATACATGCAAGGCAAACAATATACCACTGAGATCTCTCTACCTCTTTTAATCTTATTTGGAGTCAGGATCCCACTAAATTGCACAGGCTGACCTCAAACTTGCAATTCTCCTTCCTCAGCCTCTCAAGTAGCTGGGATTACAGGCTTGTACCACCACAACTGGCTCCAATGGCTTTTAAAGGGAATAGAAATATTATATATTTTTTTTCAAAAGCAGCATTAAAAATTATAACTTCAAAATATCTTTAAATGGTTAACATTTGCCTATGGAAAATTTTCAAATAGAATAAAAGGTTATATTATGAAAAAATAGGTCATCTGGGATGGGGACTGTAGCTCAGTGGTAGAGCACCAAGTAGCTGGGATTATAGGCATGAGCCATTAAGCCCATCTTAGCTCCACTTTCTATTGCTACCACTGTTAAGTGTATTACATGTTATTTACTTGATATTTTTAAAATGTAATCTCTTAATTTAATTCCTAGGGAAAATAAAGTCACTAGGAAGCCATTTATAGATCACATTACACAAACATTTTTCATTGAATTGCACTTGTATTAATGCTCTCCCCTCTTAAATGAAACAACAGAAGGCATGACCAAACAAAACACATTTAAGCATTATGCAATTCCCACATAACAAATCCCCTCCAGAATCTAATGCAGCATCCCTGTACCCTTTTAAAATAATTATCATACGACATTCCCCCTGCCTTATCCTTTGGCAAACAGGAAGCCAAAACACAATTTTGTGCGCTGATAATGGGAAGGGGGCATTAATTGAAAATAATTGCTTTCAGCACTTTCTAATCATCCCTACCTGTCACACATACTTTAATTCATGACTTTAAAAGACTCATTAAATTATATTTTGATGTAGAGATTTGTTTTGATGTTATATTTGTAATTAGTTTCAGTCTTTCTCCGCAACAACACATTATATACACACATTTCTGTATGTATAAATATATAATTTAAAACTCCTATTATCTATTCCTATTTATTTGCCTTAGGATGGGGGTGGCCACCCTCCACATCCTTAGGTAACTATTATTTTTTGGTATACATCTCCCCAGTTTTTTTTATGTTCACACAGACTGATAAAGTGAGACCTACCCGCCCCCCCCCTCACACACACACACACACACACACAGAGGCATGTGTTTTGATGTTAAATACATAATATTATAATACAGAATCATTTTCATTTTTGCAACCTATCATCCTGTTCTTGTTTAACATGTGTTTTTACCTGATTTTGTTTATTCTAAAATTCAGTACAGTAGCCATTAACCTCATATGGCTATTAGGTAAAATTAAACAAAAAATGAGTTCCTCAATCTCACCAGTCACATTTTAAGTACTCAGTAGTCTCACCTGATTTAACATCTACTATGCTGGGTGATAACAGATTTAAACATTTCCAACATCACAGGAAATTCCACTGGACTCTGCTGCCTTAAATTCTAGTTTGTATGTACTTATTTCAATTTGCCTAAGTTTCATGTAAAAAAGGGGTTTTACTTTTTTTTTCATTCATTCATTCATACTGGGGATTGAAACCAGCAGTGCTCTACCACTGAGCTACACCCTAAGTGCTGTTTTTTTTTTTTTTTTCTTGAGACAGGTGAGGCTGGCCTCAATCTTCTCCTGCTTCAGCTTCCCAAGTAGCTGAAATTACAAATATGCACCATGACATCTAGTCAAAAACGGTTTCAGAATAAGCTATATTGATAGATAATTATTAATTTGCTAGTATGCTGCCTTTAAAATTTTGGGGTGAGTTTGTCAGTAATACATGTATGTGGCAAAGAAAATAATTTGTTTTGTTGAAACTGAAAGTGAACCTCTCCACTGCTATTAATCTCTGCTCCCAGTTTACAAAGGTATTCTATGTATATTCTTTAACTATCGTATTCATAATAATTTTAACTTGAAAGCTGATGATAGTACCAGGTCTTATTTGCAAAGGATATGGCTGGGAGTGAGCAGAACAAGGTTCTTTCCCTCAAGGAACTTATATTCTAATGGGGAGAACAGATCATAAATTAAGCTATAATTACACACAGTCTATAATTAAACTAATAGGTACTCTTAATTATCCATAAATACTATAAAGAATAATGCACAAGTAAAAAGAATTTTAAAAATTAAAAAAATAACACAGGGGAATAAAGAAAATTAAAGGGAAGGGGAGCACATTTATTTTAAGAGTTGTCCTTGAAGGAGGTGTTACTTTAGGAGTGAGGATGCAAACCATGCCTGAGGAAAGAACATGCCAGCATGGAGGATGACAACTCTGAAGACCCTGAAGTAGAAACAAGCTTTGTGGACTTAAGGTACAGCAAATCGTCTGTGAATGAAATGCCATCCAGGGTGGTAGGCCAGACTAGATCCTGAATGTTGTATCTTATGGTACCTGGATTTTATCCTGTGACAGATAAATCACTTTAGCCATAGTATGGAAAACTGATTATTACAGCAAGAATGGAAGCAATATGACCTTCTGTACTAATTCAGGTAAGATATTAAACCAGATAGTGGTGGTGGTTAGAGATACTGAGAAGGTGACATATATTTTGTTGACAAGAGCCAGTGAGACCACCCCTTAGGGTTGGGGTTAAGGAAAGATTACAAATAGGCAGCACAAGTGAATTTTTTAGGGCAACAGAACTAGGTATTGACTGTGGTGGGAAGTGGTACACAACGGAACACATTTGTCAAAACTAATAAATTTATATACCTTGTTTTGGGCTAGGGGTATAGCTCAGAGGTAGAGTACTTGCCAGGAAAATTCTGAAAAAAAACTATATTAATATATAATAATTAAGTATGGAACTACATAAATGTAAGAATGTACAAAACATGACCTAGATATATATTAAATACCACCTTCCTCCTAAATTCTTAATTTTAGTAAGCTAAAAATAGACTTAAATATGTAAACTATCCCATAAACTAAGCAGAAAACAGGGGGAAAACATTGGATTTTTGACACCAAAATAAATTTAAAATGTAAAAAAATGAAACCAAGAAAGTACTAAAATGAGAAAAATCTGAGAGATCAAAGTCTTTATAGGTATTAACTGTAATTCCAAATACCATCAAAGAAAAGAAGCTTGAATAAATACATAAGGTGTGTGTATATATGTGTACATATGTAGTAGAATCGGTTCAACTTTGTAGTATGTTCAAAGTTTTTCACAAAAAATGTTGGAAGCAAAACCAAAAATTAAATTTAAAAAAATTCAAAGACGGCTAGTTCATTACATACACATTGTTAATTTTGTTAAATGGCATTTTAATAAACCAAAAGATTTTACTTTCTAAATTAGTCCAAAAAATTAAGTGTTAACACAAGTACAAATAACTAATATACATAGACTGTTTCTGAACATTAGATAAGAATATATACAGATCTGTCTGTGGTAAGTATTTCATTGTTCATCATTTATCTCCTCTGACTATAAGCTTTTCTTTCAAAAGGTAACGCCCACATTTACATTCTTAATAACTTTACCTTTATGCCAGTAGGTGCTCAGTTTGTTCTGTGTACGAATTTTTGTAACAATATTTTCAGATACAGAGATTTAATTAGCTCTTGCTTATTCATGGTGGGCATGCTGTAAATCACATTGCAAAGTTTAAATTCTCTGATTCAAACTTCCTTAACCTCAAACTGAAAATTAAATGTTCATGTTTAATCTTTCATTATGTATCTAATCCAAATGTAATTTCCATTAGAATTAAGGTCATGGATATAAATGGCTAGTGTCCAAGAGAGCAATCTGTATGAAGCAGTGTAGTTTTGGGGAAAAGTCTATCCCTAGATGAAGAAAAATCTAATTTTGAATCTTTGATTCATCACCTACAAGCTATGTGACTTTAGGAATATTATCTAACTTTCTGAGCCTCCATTTCTGCATAAATTGAAAACTGCCTACTTCACAAAGTTTCTGTAGGAGTAAATGGGATAATACTAAAAAGAACTGCATTTTTCCTGGCTTAAAATGTTATCTATCTTTTGTTAATTACCACTATTCTAGTATGACACTTTCTACACACCACATTTTTCCACTGAAAAGTTGGTTTTGTGTGTCTATCACATGGAAACGATTCCTATACATACTATACTGTCCGCTGCTAGTCTGATAGATCGGAGTTGGAACAGACATAGAAGTAACAGCAGAAACTCCAGGGTTTTCTCCGTCTCCTTTTCTGCCTCGTGTATCTTCTGAAGAGAGGTCTTTCAAAATTTTTCTGTGAAAAACACAACTCTATTAATGTTGGTAATGAGAATGCCTTTATTTAGGAAAAAAAAAAAACAGCCTTTTTCAATCTAAAGTTTAAAGTACAATATCTAGCCACATTTGGAGTGGAGCACATCTGTAGTCCCAGCTACTCTAAGAGGCTGAGGCAGGAGGATCACTTGAGCCCAGGAGTTTGAGACTATTGTGGGCAGCATAGCAAGACCCTGTCTCTAGGAGGAAAAAAAAGCTTCTGCAAAGGAAATGATTAAGAGAGTGAAGAGAAAGCCTTATAATTGGGAGAAAATCTTTGTCTACTTCTCTGACAGGGAACTAAAATCTGGAATATAGAAAGGACTCAAAAAATGCAATGCCAAAAATACAAATAGCCCAACTGATAAATGAGCAGGGCTGGGGTTGTGGCTCAGTGGTAGAGTACTTGCCTTAAATGTGTGAGGCAATGGGTTCAAGTCTCAGCATTACATATAAATAAATGAATAAAGCAAAGGTCTATCAACAACTAAAAATAAATAAATGGACAAAAGAAGTAAATAGAAACTTCTGAAAAGAAAGAACACAAATGTCCAACAAATATATGAAAAAAAGTTCAGCATCTCTAGGAATTAGGGAAATGCAAATCAAAACTAAACTAAGATTTCATCTCACTGCAGTCAAAAGAGCAATTATCAATAATGTGAATAGGGCTATGTTTGTGGCTCAGTGGTGGAACACTTGCCTACCATGTGTGAGGTACTGGTTCAATCACATAAATAAACAAAATAAAGATACTGTGTCCATCTACAATTAAAAAATGTGAATAATAAATGTTGCTAAGGACATGAGAAGAAAAATACACTCTTACATTGTTGGTGGGACTACAAATTAGTACAGTTACTCTGGAAAGCAATGTGGAATGGAACCACCATGAGATTCAGCTATCAGTGTTTATCCAAAAGATTTGTAAAACCAGCATACTACAGCAATACAGCCACTACAATGTTTACAGCAGCACAATTCACAATAACCAAATTATGGTTATTGGGTTAAGGTATTGGGTTAAGAGAATGTAGTATGTATACAATGGAGTTTTACTCAGCCACAAAGAAGAATAAAATAATGGCATTTGCAAGTATGGATGGAATGGAAAAAATCATGCTAAATGAAATAAGGCAGACTCAGAAAATCAGAGGTCAAATATCACTCATATATGGAAGCTAGAGCAAAATAAGGGAAAGACGGCAGTAGGGGAGCAGGTTAGATATGAAGACACAGTAAAGATCAGTGGAGTAGATGTAGGAGAAAGAGAAAAAGGAAGGGAATAAGACGATGACAAATGGAATGAATTTAACAAAATCATGTTATATATTTACATATAAATATACCAAAGGGAATTTCACATTTATGTTTATGTAGAAGAAAAAAAATTTAATAGAATAGAGAAGGGAGAATAGGGAGAGGGAGGAGGGGAGAAATAGGGGGAAATAGGAGTTGAAATCAAGTTCCTTGAAGGTATGATTTTGCCAAAATGAACCCAACTACCATGTATAGTCATGATGCCCTAATAAAAGTATTTTTTAAAGCCAATAATCTACTAGATCCTTAAACTATTCTGTCTAACACAGAATAATTTAAGGATTTAGTAGATGATTGGAATCCTTTTGTGTTTAGGAATCTATTTGTTTAGCATATCATAATAATGTGTACTTCAGATCAATTACACTGTAATTTATGACTGTTTAAAAAGAGACAGTAAAAAAAAATTAAAAAGAGACAGTCATACACTAAAGAAATACAGTGCCTTTCTAGGTAAAAGGACCTTACAGAGGCATAAAACAAACCTCTTTCCCCTACAAAAGTGATGGTACTATTGTGAGGAATTTCATATATATATATATATATATATATATATAAATTTATTTATTTATTTTTTTTAGTTGTAGTTGGACACATCACCTTTATTTCACTTGTTTATTTTTTTCTGTGGTGCTGAGGATTGAACCCAGGGTCTCACACATGCAAGGCAATGCTCTGCTCAAAAGCAGCGCTCTGCTGCTGAGCCACAACCCCAGCCCCAGGAATGGAACCTGAATAGTTCACTATTACCTGAAAAGTGCTAGGGAACTTCACTTAAGAAGGTCCATTTTGATTTTTTCTTTTTTTTAACATTTGTTCTAGTTGTAGGTAGACACAATAACCTTTATTTTATTTTTATGTGGTGCTGAGGATCGAACCCAGTGTCCCATGTAGAACTTCTACTACAATAAAAATGCAGAGTAATTGTGGTAAATAAAACAGCTTATTTGAACAAAAAAATAAATATCTCACAGAGGTATCCCTCTCCCAGCCTACAGAGTAATGAATTTCTTTTCTTTTTCTTCTTCTTCTCCTTTTTTTTTCTTTTATTTTTTTATTTTTTTTTATGAGACACAGTCTGGATAAATTGCTGAGACTGGCCTCAAACATACAATCCTCCTGCCTTGGCTTCCCCAGTTAACTAGGATGACAGGTGTGTACCTTGTGCCAGGCAGAATTCCTTCTTTAATGTTCCTCACAACTTCTACTTCCAAGAATGAGGCACCTACTGCTTCCCAAAAGTAAACCATTCCATTGTTGAACAATGAGAGTTCTTCCCCAAAGCCCAAGCTGGTTCCTACCAGTGAAGCTACAGAAATTTAAGCACACCCCAAATAATACACTTTGCAATATCTGTCTACTGTTACAGGTCTTCTTTATTGTAGGCCAAATACTTTGTTCTTTCATGTGTTTCCCTATGGCATGATAAGATCCTTCAGTTTTGTCTCCCTTCTCAGGACAGTATTCTCACTGAAAGCTAATATAATTGTAGAGTAATAGAAGCTTCACACAGAGAACAAGGGAAATAACTGTCTACAGGACTCTGAAGCATTTGTTGAATAGTTGTGGTGGTTCCTAAATCTGCCTATATATCGTTATTATCTGGAAAGATTTGCTAATCCATATTCCCATCTGATGCCTCCAATGACTGAAGAGGTCTAGGTGTAGAACTCCAGAATCCATTTAACAACACGCAGGTAGTCTCATGTAGTCAGTTTAGCCCAACACTGTGGAATGCT